CACAAAAAAAAATTAATGCTATTATTAGATGTTAGATCTTTGTACTGTTGCATAAATGTTATAATTTTACATTTTAAAAATAATAGAAAAGCTTACTTGTTTAAAGTAGTATTTGAAAATGTTCCTATAGGGCAAGGTGTTGGTAATGTTGATCCTTCAGGGCAAAAATGACCAACAGGACAACCTCCACCACTTAAAATATCAGGAATGGCATCAATAGCCCCTAAGCTGCAAAAATAGCCTGCAGCACATTTATGAATAGGATTAGTCAATTTTTCTTGAGGACAATAGTAACCAGAAGAACATAATAGTGGTATAGCTGAGCCTTCAGGACAAAAGAAACCTTTTGGACATGGATACATTGTTGAGTTTGTTGAGCCACCTGGACAGTAATATCCAGCTGAGCAAACACCAGTGGTTTTGAAACTTCCTTTATCTAAACAATACTGCCCTTTATCACATGGTTTGCATGCATTCAAACTCACTTGAGCTTCAATAGGGTTGTAAGTACCAATCGGACATTTGTTTTGATACGGAAAAGTTGTATTAACTGAGCAAAAGTGTCCTTTAGGACATTTAAATATTAAATAATTTGATGTATTATTTAAACAGTAGTATCCTGCAGGACACGATTTACAGCTAGATTGGCCTTCTTCGTCTTGATAAGATCCTTCAGAACATGGAATTGGGTAGGTAGAACCTTCAGGACAATAACTTCCAGCTGGACATATTCCACCAATAACTAATCAAAAAAAAAACTTTATATATTAAATTGATAAAAAAATAAAGAAAATTTAAAATTATGGAGATGCATAGAAACTTGCAATAAATGTGATTTAAGGATTGAAGTTAATAACAACAGGTAATTTATAAAAATTTAAATGTGAAAATAAATAAAAGAACTTTTTTAATATTATAACTAAAAGTATATAATAATAATTAAAAAGTATATAATAATAAAGAAATAAATATTAAAAAAGATTTTTATTAGAATATCAAATTTAAAAACGTAGATTGAATAAATAAATAAAAAAAATTCAAAATAAAGTAAAAAATGCAGAAATTATGAAAGTAATAAATTGAATTTATTTTTAGCTTGAAATAATTTAAAGATTATAAAATCTACAACTGAAAACTTTTTCAAACAAATTTCCAAGATTGCAAGCATCCACTAAATAACTTGGGAGTTACCAGAAAATAAGACTACAAGCATTCCCTAAATAAGAGTGGATAAAATACATTCACTAAATAAGTTAAGACAGAAAACAATGAAGAATGAAACAAGGAAAAAAGGAAGAATAAGTTTTTTAAAATTCATTCTTCATTTAAAGAAGACTTTAAAAAACGTAGAATGAAGCAATATCTGGTTTGTATAAAAATCTGGTTTGTAGAAGCAATAGTAAAAAAATGCAACTTAGTTGAATGATGAGTCATGCGAGACACATATAAGAAGAAACTGCAAGTTTTGGTTGATAAAAAAGATGATGATAGGCTGCTTAAGCAACAATTATGGTAGTAATTTTAGAAAAGAGAAAAGAGATCCAACGATGGGACAGAGGCTAAAACTTAGCAGCTAGAGCAGTTTCAATAACATTTGCAAAGCATTTCTGAACCTTGTCTAAAAGAGGGCCTCATTAGAAGAACCAGCCCAAATATGGCTATAGTTTTCCATACAAGGACAAATGCAAAATTTATATGGTTAGAGAATGGAGTAGGAAAATGGCATGCACGACAAAGACTAATTTAACAGATGGCAACTTTAATAGATGCTAAATAACTTAAAAGAGGCAAATTTAACAGATGCTAAATTTGCATCAAGTTAAACTACGTTGGTCTTCAAGAAGAAACAAAATAGAGGATTATGTAAAAGTGTTGCAATTCATCTATATACGAATATTTAGAATATTGCAATTGTTAAAAATCACTAAAAATCACTGCAAATCCTATGCTGTCACACAAGAGAAATCAGCTAACTTGACTAAGTAATCAAAAAGTGACATTTTGTTTTAATATTTTTAACTATATACTTCATTTTTGATATTTTGTCAACAATGGAGTATATAGTTGCATTATCAGCCACTTTAGAGGTAAGGTTATCCAAAAGATCATTAATATAGTTAAAGAAATCACAAGATTAAAGATGGAACCCTATCATACCATAGAAGTTACTGGAAATGAAGAAGATTGCCTATCAATGACAACTTTGATACTGTAGTTATAAAGGAATAATTCAATAGTTTTATAAACTTTACTAGATAAAGCAGAAAATTTACTGAACTAAGCTTATAGAGAAGATCAGCTAACTCAAGATATATCAAAAGATATATTTTAAAAAACCCACTTCTATCTTACACAATGCAACTGTTTAGTTATTATGGATAACAAGTTAGCATAAGAACAAAATGTTTTAAATAAGTATTTACTGTCAGAGTCTGCCTATTAGATCAAAGTCATAACATATGGCTTGGCCATGACAATGCACACCTTCAATGCACCATATGACACTGTTAGTACTCTTATATTTTAAAGCTGTTTATGAAATCAGCCTAATTGGGAGTACCACATCCTCTCTCCATACTACTAGTTTGCCTCTGAACCACGAAACTAGGTATTAGAGCTGTAGCCTCATTATGATATAACAGAAAAAGCTGCATAGCCACTATGGAAAGACAAATAAAAACTTATGAGTAGAGTCAAGAAGATTCAGCACTTATCATCTTAGATGGAAAACAATGCAACAAAAGATTATACCTGCATCATCCTATTAGATAAAGAAGGGATGCAAGACTGTTCAACAGAGATACCTTCTTTCTTCTAAAATATTTGACTTTGAGGTTTTCTACAAAACAGTATATGTATGAAATTAATTTGCCCAAGATGACGCAACCAAGAGGCCCAGTATTAAGTAAAAAAAATCTATATACACTATGATAGATATATAATATGTAAAATTTAAAATGTAATATAAAAAAAATGTAGGACTAGGAAAAAAATAATTGGACTAAAATAAAACTGATATTGCCATGACAAAAGAGAAAAAAAAAATGTTGCAATGACTAAAAAAATCTTTTAATTTAATCAGATTAATTTAACTTAAATAAAAGAAAAAAACTTTAATTAAATAAAACCTGTGTGTTGCTTGGTGCAGTTACTTATATATGAAATCCCAAGTGGTTTTGGGTAATCAACGCCTTGAGTGCAATAATAACCAGCTGCACACAAACCTGAAGCTTTATTTGCATGTAACTCAGAACAGTACTTTCCTCCCTCACAAGTAGTACATTCAAATATACTTGCAAGCCCAGTTTTATTACTAAAAGTTCCTTGAGGACATGGCTTCCAATTAAGACCAGTACCACTTGGACAATAGTAGCCTTGTGGACATATTGCATAACCATAAGTTAAGTCAGATGTTAAATTAAATGGCAAACAGTAGTATCTCTCAGGACAAACTTTACATAAGGATTGTTTAGTAGTATTTGTATAAAATCCTGGCAAGCAACTCAAAGCAGATTCACTTCCTTGATGAAAATAATAAAATTATGAAAATATTTACTCAAAAACTTGTACCAAAAAAAAATGTAACGCAAGAAAATTAAATTTAGGAAAAAATAACATTGATATGTTTTAGCCTACCTTCAGGACAAAACAATCCAATTGGACAATCTTGGAGCTTAGTGCCACTACCCATTGGACAAAAACTACCTTTAGTACAGGAACCACTTGAGAGAACCAAACCTGTTTTATTACAAAATTTACCTCTTGGGCATGGCTGACATTGAGCAGAGTCAGATAATCCAGGCAAAACAGAGTAAGTTCCAACAGGACAGTCTTCTGGTTTATCATCTCCTCCAAGGCAATACATTCCTTTTGGGCAGAGTAATTGCTTTGAATGATAAGATCCATTTGGACAATAGTAGCCAGGTTCACAAAAACTAGCATTAAATTCTCCTGGTCTGTCGCATGCTTTTCCACTTGGGCATGTACTGCAGTTATTTTCTGAAATTAAACCTTCTAGAAGACCTAAAGTCCCAGTTGGGCATGGAATTGGGTTTATAGTATTTATTGGGCAGTAGAAACCTAAAGGACAAATATTAGCATTTGATCCTTCATTAGGTTTATCTGACCTTGAACCAGATTTACAGAAATATCCAGCACTACAAGGTGATGTAGGGTAAGTCAAACCTTTACTTCCACAATAAAATCCACCCAAGCAAGGCAAACACTCACTTTTACTTGCTCTTCCAACAACATTATTAAAAGTCCCTACATCACAAGGATATTCAGTAGCATATTTTGTTCCTGGTGGGCAAAAAAATCCCTGAGGACAAATTGATACTGTGTAATTAATGACAGGCCCATATTTGGAATCACAAAAGAATCTTTCAACACAAAGTTTACATGAGCTATGCCCTTGTTCATCTTGGTATTCACCAGAAGAACAAGGTTCTGGTTTTACGCTTCCTCGGATACAAAAATGACCAAAGTCACATATTTTTTCTTTTTTAGAAACAGAACCGGTTGGGCAATAATACCCAGGGTCACAATCGCCAGTTGGAGTCTGTATTCCGGGTTCACTACAATACTTACCTGCTGTACATGGTATACAGTCATTTATAGATTTAGCATACTGTACATTTATAAAATACCCTTGTGGACATATTCTTGGGTGTTTATCTCCTTCTAAGCAAAATCTTCCCAAAGGACACGACAAAGATGTTTTATTTGTTGACATTTTAGGACAGTAAAAACCAGCAGAGCAATTTCCAGAAGGACTTTTCAACTCATATGTGTCACAGAAAGTTCCGAGCTCACATGGAACAGGTTCATAACTTCCAGTAGAACAATAAAAACCAGGTTGACAACGACCTCCAGTCAAAACAGGTGTAGAAGATGCTGAACCAGAATTACAATACCAACCACCTTTGCAATCACCAGTTGGAAGAATATTTCCAACTCCTAAACAATACTTTCCTTTAGGGCAAGGTAGACATGCATTTGATGAATTTTGTTTAGGTTTGTTATTATAAGTACCTTCAGGGCATGGATATTCATCACCTCGACTTGTGCCCAATGGACAGAAATAACCTTTTTGACATTCATTTCTCAAGTAAGAAACTGAACCTTCTGGACAAAAATATCCTGCAGGACATATACTGCAATTTCCTTGGCCTACATCACTATTAAAGGTACCAGCAGCACAAAGTTGAGGCTTCCATGACTGTTTTTTGCAAAAATGGCCTTTAGGACAAATATCTCCAATTCCTTTGAAAGAATTGCCGAAAAGTGAAGTATAAGGACATGAATAATTTGTAACATTGTATGAACTTACTAAGGGACGTGGTACACTTGCACCTGAAACATAAGCATAATTTAAACCATTTTTGATGAATTAAGAAAAAGTGATAAAAATGTGTTAACATTACTTTTAAAATCAAATTTTTTGAATTTAGGAAATACTCTTTCAATTTATATAAAAAATACCTAATTTCTCTTTAAAAAAATTTCAACTCTTATGATAACTAATTTTTGATGTAATGTTAATAATGATGACTATAATAGATAATAATTAAAATAATAGTAATATTAATAACAAAACAAATTTATAAAAGCCTGCTTTACCTAATGTACAATAAAATCCTTCATCACAAGGTCCATCTGGTTGCACTAATATGTTACCAGAACAATAATAACCTGGATCACATGGTTTACATTCAGAAGCTTGTGTCAATCCAGTTAGATTGGAATATGTCCCAGCTGGGCATTTTATCATGTTGACTCCAGTAGGGCAATAAAACCCTGGTGAGCATAACTTGTAACCTTGAGTAAAATTCAATGACTGTTTCCAAGCTAAAGGATAGCAGTAAAATCCTTTTGGGCATAAAGTACAACTTGTTTGGCCTGTTGTGTTTGTAAAATACCCATTTAAACATGGTTGAGGCTCACTACTCCCTTGTGGGCAATAAAACCCTGATGGACATAAATACTGTGATGGCAAAGAACTGCCAATTGGGCAATACCAGCCAGAATAACAACTACCACTTACATTTTTTAGCCCTGCTGCTCCACAATAAAAACCTAAAAATTTTTGAAAATTATTTTAAACTATTTAGTATACTTTAATAAAAATAACTATTATTATTTTATGTAATAATATTAACTATATTATATCTAACAGTATACATTAAACATTTAAAGAAATAGTCTTGATAACTGCAAGCACAATAAAATAATATACTTAATAAAAACATAATATAATTATAAAAAAATAACATAAAAATATAAAAGAATAGACATTTATAATATATATAAATATATATTATATATATATATATATATATATATATATATATATATATATATATATATATATATATATATATATATATATATATATATATATATATATATATATATATAATAGTATTTATTAAAATCTTAGAATATTAAAATCTTCAATACAAATCTTAATCAACAAGTTTAAGATTAGCAGAAAGTTGTTTAATATTTGTAAATGTTCACCTGGTGTACAATATTGACAATCTTCTTTTTTGATTCTTCCAATGTTTGGTTGGAAAGTTCCTGCATCACAACTTGTAGGTGTAGAAGAACCTGCTCTGCAGTAATAACCAGCAGGACAAGGAAATTCTTGTGAACTCTTTGTACCAGCTGGACAATAAAAACCTTCTTCACATAAACTATATGATGAGTTGAGCCCTACTTGATCGCAGAAGAAACCCTCTTTGCAATTTTCACATTCAGATGATGCTTTTAAACCTGATAAAATTTTTAAAAACAACGTTTTTTGAGATTTTTATAACTTCAAGTCAACTTGCAGGGTGACAATAGTTATGTTTGTATATATACATATATATATATATATATATATATATATATATATATATATATATATATATATACATATATATATATATATATATATATATATATATATATATATATATATATATATATATATATATATATGCAACAATTATTCTTTCAGACAGCAAATCTGAATAAATGTTTGCATGATTGCTGCATGAGGAAAAAATTTTAAAAAAAAGATTTTTAAACTTCAAGAAATATTGAATTATGAACAATAAAAATGCAAATTTTTTATGCATAATTTTTTTTATTTGGTAATACCTTTTTTGCTTAATTTATTCAAATAACATTTGAATAAATTAAGAACGCTAATTATCTTTAGCAAGTGCTCATCTAAATCTTAGTTTCTTGCCTGTTATAAAATGGTATCTGTGGTTCTGAATTTTAAAAAATTCTGGGAATTGCTCTGACCCTTTTAACTAGTGCCTAGTTTTACTAACATATCAGTTTTCTTATTAACATATCAGTTTTCCTTATTAACATATCAGTTTTTCTTATTAAAAAAGGTTTTGAATCTTTAATTAACAAACTAATAATATCTTATATTTAGTCTTACAAATTACTCTCTGACAATTAATATGAATTTTGAATTTTTGTTTTAATGCTTACTTGTTAATCATTTTAATCAAAAAATTTGTATTGTGTGTTAGATGAAAATGATGAGGCATGGGCTATTACTCGTGACATGCCGTAGGATTTAGATCTGACATGCTAATCTTATATGGTGCATCTAGCAAAATTTTTAAAACTATTGAATCATTTCTTTATAACCACAGTATTAAAGTTGTCATTTATGGATCTCCTTCATTTTTAGTAACTTCTAGCATACTACAAGGTATTCTTAGTCCTGTCGTTGTCTTCATCTATATTAATGATCTTCCTAATAGTCATCTATATTAATGACCTTCCTAATCTTACCTCTAAAGTGACTCTATTTGCTGATGAACAACTATATACTTTAGTCTGGAGTATATGGTTGAGTTATCAGCTATAGTCATTAATTACTTAAACCAGACAAATCTTGAATGTAATCCCACTCTGTGACAGCTTGGAGTATGCAGTATGAGACATGGATTGCATTTACTACTAACTATTACTATTACTTGCATGTACTACTGTACTATTGCATCACTACTGACCTCTCATGTGAACTATAAAAATAATCTATTGCTAAATCTGCTAGGGTTGCTTCTCCTCATTGTACTATAGATTTTGTCATTGTATGGAGTACTATTGTCATATTTGCGCTGGTTCTTTTAATTATATTTTAGACAAGTTCTTCTAATAAACTATTAAACAAGATCAAAAAAACATTGTAAATCTTGTAAAACATGCTACAGTTGCCAAGCACGGGCCTCTATCTCATTGTTGTAAGGTTCCATCTTTTTTTTATAAATACTACCATGGTCACTGCTCAAGTATGCTATCAAAATTTACATCATAAATTGTTTACTTAACCAAAACTCTATTTTGTATGACTGAATGACATTTGACTAAGTTTCAAAATCTTTATTTATCTGGTTTTTTCATTGAACATCTGTACATTGAAATTCTTTTCAGTCAGTTTTATTTACCTAATTTTTTCTTTGAACATCTGGGCATTGAAATTCTTTCCAGTTTTACTGACTCATACAATTTACAGTTTTTGAAGTTTTTTTGTCACACTTTTGCTCTTTAAGTATCTTCTTTGCTCTTAAATCCCAGTATTCCTTGCAGGCTTGTTGGGAGTGATATAATTTTAAAATAAAATTTTATCTAAAATAATTCATTTAATGATACTTTAAAGAAAATGTTTTATTTTTCTTTCCTTTTTTCCTTGCATAATGCATTATTTTAATGATAACCCATGTTTTATATCCATTTTGCTGTAAAATAATAAATTTTCGAATTTTCTAAAAAGTTGTCAATTTTTATTGAATACTAAGCATTTTTCTAGAATATTCCATAATTGCTAGTATTGATATCAAAGTGGTGCTTGTGCCACCACTGCACATCAAGTTATTCTCATAAAGTATTATGCCAATATGGGATGCAGAATGTCTCTATATCCTCAACATTCATCTTCAAAAATTTTATGTGAATATAAAAGTTTACTCAGAAGACCAAGGAAAGCATTTTTATCATAATATATTGGACTTTGAATGTTATTACCAAGGACAGTACAACAAAATTTGATTTGGAGGTTCCATTCGATGATTGATTTTGCAAAAAGTGATTTAGAGTTACACTTGCAAATCTAGTAATTTTTCTGAAGCTTTTAGAGTGATTTTTAACTGACTTAATCAATTTAATATGAAATCGTTGTTTCTTACCAAACCAAATAAATGTAAGCATGAAATGTTTTCTTGGTTTGTCTCAATAAATAAAATCAAACTATTATCTTTTTATAAAAAATAATATGATAATAATAATAATAATAATAATAATAATAATAATAATAATAATAGCAATAATAATAATAATAATAACAATAATAATAATAATAATAATAAAGGCTAAATAATTAGGAACAATGCCAGTCAACAATTTGTGGAGAAAATGCAGTATAAAATTGATGGAGAAAATGCTGTTTTAAGAAAATAAAAATAAGAACAATAAAATTTGCTTTTTGGATTTGTTAGGAACTTTTTTTAAAAAAAAGAAAATAGATAAAATACAAATGTAAATCATAATTTAGTATAAAACTTAACAAAAACTTCTATTTAATAATACGATAAAAAGAAAAATTTAATAATAACTTTTAATAGTATAAAAAAAAGGAAAAATTTCTTTTAAATGATTAAAAAAAAATGTGATTAATAATTAAAGAAAGCAAATTGGGTTTATTTATATGATAGTTTCTGAATTTAACAGTTAGAAGAAAAAAAAGTTGAGCATGATAAATTCTGAAAAAATAATTCAAATGAAAACAACAACAGAAAATTTTTTAATAATGTAGGGTTAAAAATACTTATATTAAAAGAATCATTGTATAATATTTAATATAAATTTACTTTTGAAATTGTTTGCTTTATTTGGATTTATTTTAATATAAGCTGCATATAATAGTGCATTATATATATGTGAATATATATATATATATATATATATATATATATATATATATATAAATTATGTTAGTGTATTCTACAAATAGAGTGCTCAATGTTCTTAAAGAACAGAGCAATAATAAATTAGTAAAAACACTTAACTAATTTTTCTTTTCTTTTACAGCATGTATCTCCATCAGTAGGATGATCAGGAGGCTTCCTGATGATCCTACTATATATATATATATATATATATATATATATATATATATATATATATATATATATATATATATATATATATATATATATAGTCAATAAATTTTAAACTGTATATACTTTATACAATATAAGAACAACCTGTCTTTGAACTAAATGTTCCCTTTTTGCATGGAACTGGATTGACAGTGCCTTTTGGACAATAATAACCTGGTGGACAAATATTTGCATCTTTGTTTTGAATGGGTTTTGATGATTTTGCACCACTCAGGCAAAAGTAACCTGCATCACACATACCAGTAGGTGCTATTAAACCTTTAAAAACCATATTATTTTAATTTTATTTAAAATAAAAAATTAAATAATTCACTAAAACACAATAACTAATAATTATCATTATTTTTTTTTTAATATGGTATTCAGTGAAACATTTAATGTGATATACAGTGAAACATTTAATATGTTATCTAGTGAACAATTAATATGATATCCAGTGAAACATTTATAAACTAGATATCAAATATAAACATAGGTATTATAAATATATTATAAACATATAAATTACCTTTTTGATCACAATATCTTCCTGCAGTACACTGAACACATGAATTAGAATTTATTAAACCAGTTTTGTTTGAGTAAGTTCCAAGTGGACAGGCTGTGTCTAAACTAATTGCACCAGTACCATTTAGACAAAAATGGCCTCTCGGACAAATATAAGTATCGTAATTTGTCATGTTAACCAGAGGACAATAAAAGCCATTCATGCATGGATAACAACTTGATAACCCTGCAATTGGAGCATAGGTTCCTATTTTACAGCCAAGTGGAACTTGAGATCCTTCTGGACAAAAATGACCAATTGGGCAAATTCCACCATACCCTGTTTCTTTATCATCATAGCAGGTTGAATTAAGTAAAACAATATTCTTTAAAAAAGTCCCAATTGGTTTTGGCCTATCTATGCCATACTTACACCAATACCCTGGGTAACAATTTCCAGTGAATGTTGATGCATTTTGAAATTGACAGTACTTTCCACTTGGACAAGGTTGGCATTCAGATACATCCTTATAGCCTTCTTCAACTCCAATAGTACCTCTAGGACATGGTTTTAGATCAACTCCAGTGCCTGTAGGACAATAAAATCCTTTTGAACAAGGTATACCAGTTCCTGCTTGAAAGCAATATGAGCCACTCGGACAAGAGTCACACTTAATTGCATTTGTTCTATTTGCCATTTGATTAGAAGGACATGGAATTTGATCTGATGTGCTACCGGGACAAAAATGCCCATACTTACAACTGTATTCAATTGGCTCAGGATCAGATTGTCCAGGAGGACAATAATAACTAAATTAAAAAATTTTTCTTTAAATTAAAAAACTTTGTAAAATTATTATATAGTTAAACATTGATTATTTAAAAACATTCTTACCCAGGGTTACAATCTCCGGTTGGATTTATTTGGCCTAGCTCTTTACAATACTTTCCACCAGTACAATTAAAACAGTCTGTTTTCTTTGTTCCATGGGTAATATTTCTAAATGTTCCCCTTGGACATGCAATGGGTATATGAGTTCCAGATTCGCAATACATTCCCATTGGACATGGAAATTGATTTGGAATTGTGGAATTTCCTGTGCAATAAAATCCAGCCCAGCAAAACCCAGTCGGCTCACTTGCTCTCATTATAGAACAATACATTCCTTCTGGACATGGTTTACAATCATTTATAGATTTTGAATGTGTTTGATTGTTATAAGTGCCAATTAAACATGGTAAAGGCTCATCTGTTCCATAAGGACAATAATATCCTTTTGGACAGTGACCATAGTTTAAATTAGAGTAGTTAAAAAACAGTGTATCAAGAAACTCAACACCATCTCTAACACCATCAGGATCTGCAACTTTAGCTCCTTTGCGACAAAAGTATCCTTTAAAAAATATATACTTAAATAAATAATCATTTGATTCTTTATATTTTTTCAATTCTAACCTTATCAGTTTAAAACACAATAATATATGTAGTTTATCAAGCAACTAAATTTAGACTTGGTTACCTGCATTGCACTTTGTTGAAAAATCAATTTGTCCCTCATTGCCACAATAAAACCTAGCAGGACATGGAGTGCATTGATCGGCCCTTTCTAATCCAGTAGAATTACTATATGTACCTTTTGGACATTTAAACTCATCTTTATACCTAGTACCACTTGGGCAAAACATTCCTTTGGGGCATATAAAACTGTAGAAATTAATAACAGAGCCATTATTAGCATTGCAAAAGTATTTGGCTGGGCAAGTCTAAATAATAACAGTATTAATAAAACAGTATATTTTGTTTCTACTATTACTTAATATCATTTCTATTTTTATCATTTTATATATGTATTATACATGAATGTGTGTATGTATGTATGTATGTATGTAAGTAATTATATACTGAGCATATATATATATATATATATATATATATATATATATATATATATATATATATATATATATATATATATATATATATATATATATATATATATATATATATATATATATTCCAATGAAAAATAAGTCACATAGAATGAAAAATAACTCACAACAAAAATATAAAGTTATATATGGGTAAGGGCTCAAAATCAAGTAAAATAACATTATCAATTTAAACGAATCGTAAAAGTTTTTTTAAAAAAGAGTTTAAAAAATTTACGAAGCATTTTAATGTAAAACCAATATTTTCTACTATTTAATATTTTCAGTTTTTATCTATTTTTTTTTATCTAAAGTCATTGTATTGTAAAAAAAAAATTAAATTAATTGTCTTAATATATATTGCTTATATAATATTAAACATACCTTGCAAACTGCTTGCATAATTTTATCTTGATAAAAACCAGATGGACAAGGTACTTGATTTTTAGAGCCAAGTCCGCAATAAAAACCAGCACCACACTGAAAGGCTACAGGAATAGGCGTTTCTTGGCCCTCTGGACAATAATAACCAGGATTACAAGAACCAGTTGGATACAGATTTCCATAACCACTACAATAAAAACCAGCAGAACAACTGATGCAATCTGTAATTGCTTTATTTTTAACTGTGTTCAAATATGTTCCTGGAGGACAAAGTATAGGAATGTGAGAACCAGAAGGACAGTAGGCTCCTTTTGGGCAAATTCCTCCTTTAATGTTATCATTTGGTTGCGATGTACTAGCTCCAAGTAAACAATAATATCCTGATGAGCAATTTCCAAATGGTTCCTTAAGACCTTCATTGGGACAGAACATTCCTTTGTCACATAACCTTGGAACTGAGGAACCTTTAGGACAATATGACCCAATAGGACATTTGCCACCATGAGATGTAATGAAAGGTTTTGCACTAACAGAGCCTAATAAGCAGAAATAACCTGCCTCACATTCTCCAGAAACATTTACTAAACCTAAAAACCAAAAAGATCACAAATATTAAGTTAATAAATAAATACCTAATTTAAAGTTAATAAATAAATACCTATTTAATAAACTTAAAATTATGCATAAAAAAAAAGTATCTATTATATTAATCTATAAATATATCAAAAGTATATAAAACTAATATCTTGATAAAAAAGTAAAAAAATATATAAAAAAGTTTGTACATAAAATAATAATAACAGTAATTATACCTGGAGAATCACAATAATGACCAGATGTACAATTAATACAATGCTGCTTTAAAGATCTTTGAGTCAGATTATTGAATGTACCAGCTGGGCAAGCAATTATGGATTCTAAAGTAGAATTTTCTTCACACCAATACCCTCTGGGACAATCCAATGGTAACTTGCTTCCAAATGGGCAATAAAATCCTGGAGGACAACCTAAACAATTTGAACTTCCTTCTTTGTCATTGTAAGTTCCTGGTAAGCAGAATTCTGTTCTGTTTGAACCTTCTTTACAAAATGTACCTGGGGGGCATATCCCACCATAAGAAACATTTCTAGGTTTACTTTCATAAGAACCTTCTAAACAAAAATATCCTGGAGAACATAATCCAGTTGGACTGTTTTGATTTCCAAAACTGCAATAATGACCAGCAGTACATTTTGTGCACTGCTTCACTGATTTTAACATACAATCATCTTTAGGAACATAATGACCAGGAGGACAAGGATAAAATGATGATGACCCTTGAGGGCAAAAATACCCACCTTTTGGACATGGACCAAATTGACAGTTTTCATTTGTGCATTCTAAACTGCTAGGATTTGCACTTTTAGCTCCTTCTTGGCACCAATATCCAGCATTACAAAGCCCAGTGTAATTTCCAACTATAGTTCCATCACAGTATTTTCCAGGTGGGCAAAGTGAACAGTCTTCAGGTTTTTTTAAATATAAAGAGGCCCCATATGTCCCTATAGGGCAAGTTAAACGTTTTCCACGAGCAGTCAAAGAACTATTACCTTCTAAGCAATAGTAGCCTTTAGGACAAGGTTGAGGTAAAAGAGGACTTCCAATGCATTCAAAACCAGCTGGGCAGACAGAGCAAGAGCTTGCACCATTGCCTTTAGCATAGAACCCTATTTAAAATTTAAGGCAAATAGTAAATTTAAAATATTGTAAATGCAAACTAATTATTTCATTAAATTTTACTTACCATCGTCACAAAGTTCAGGAACTGAAGTTTTTCCAGGGCAATACCTTCCAGCAGGACAAAGCCCACCATTTAATGAATTGCTTGGAGTAGATGAGGTTACACCTAAGTTGCACCAATACCCTGGTTTACAACTTCCGGTAGGTTTAGTGTTATTAAGACCTTGACAAAAATGGCCCTTTTCACATTGAGAGCAATCAGACAATGATTTGCCGCCATCCAGAGATCTACAAAAAAAAGGCATGAAACTTATTACATCCTAAACTTTTTCTATTATATTATAGTGCATAACTAAAATAGATTGAAATAAATATACACATATATTTATTTGTACCATACATACATATACGCATACATACATACATACATACATACATACATACATACATACATACATACATACATACATACATACATACATATATATATATATATATATATATATATATATATATATATATATATATATATATATATATATATATATATATATATATGTATATATATATGTATGTATGTATGTATATATATACATATATATATATATATATATATATATATATATATATATATATATATATATATATATATATATATATATATATATGTATATATAGTTACAGCCTTATAACTATTACCAATTTCAACTTACCTATATGTTCCTTCTGGACAAGGTACTTCGATTGCAGTTCCTTTTGGGCAATAAAATCCTGCTCTGCATAAACGACCCCAATTAACACCTTCAATGGGTGTAGCAAAAGCTGCTGCCCTAATACAAAAGAATCCCTCTTCACAATCTCCTAAGAGGAAAATGCATGATAATATAATCAAAAATGTTATATAAAAAATTAAAAATTAAAAATCTTTTGATAAAAATTAATATATATATATGTTTGTATTTTGTACATTTAATAAAATAAAATTAAAATAACTGTTTTATTTTTTTTTATAGGGGAGTTCTACGAACTTTCGTAACGATCTAAGTATGTGTATATATATATATATATATATATATATATATATATATATATATATATATTTTTTTTTTTTTTTTTTTTTTAGAAGAATTTTTAAATTTTCTTTTGATTTTGTTAATTCTTTCAAATTTCAAACTTCTATTTATGCAAATTTAATAATGGCAGAAGTTATTAAATCATACTTAGAAGTAAAAGATTAAAATCAAAATCACATTTGGGACAATATCACTGGAATCAAAAGACACAAAAGCTGTAGCAGAACAAACATAAATATAAATTATTTAAACTAGATCTTTGGGAAAGCATTGTTTTCAATAATAGTTTTTATAGATGAAACACAGTGTAAAATGAAAAAAAAAATTGATTTGAAAGTGGTTTTCCAACTAATTTATTATTGCTCTGTTCTTTTAAAAACATCTTTAAACCATGGTTTAATTCTTGTAATTAATTCTAAAAATACAAATATAGTTTCAATTAGTAGAAGTTTGTTTTGTTTTAAAAATAATTACATTAAACATTTTTTAGAAAACGTTAATTCAAAAGTATTTTTACTCTTGTTGAATTTTTTTTTTTTGTTATAAATTCTTCAATTTACATGAAATTTTTTCAGCAAATCTCATTGAAAATTATTAAAATCACATTCAAAAATGGGAAAACACAAGAAGTATAGTGAAGATCTTTGTAATTCAGTAGTAAATGCAGTTAATTATCAAGGAAAAAAATATGTGCACCATTTTGAAGTATCCAAACAGTTTGTATGTGTATGAATCAAGATTAAAGTATGGAGGGGAACTTCAGAAACAAAATCCAGATCTGGTGGACCAAGAAAAACTACTAAAGAAGATGATCGCCAACTATGTCAAATGTCAATAGGTAATGCTTGCCTTACTGGACTGCAGATTACTAAATACAACAAATATTCTGAAGTAAAAATATCTGAGTCAACTGTGAAAAGATGTTTACCTAAAAAAAAATTATTTTAAAGACGCTCTAGTAAAAAACCATTGATTTCAAAAAAGAACCGAATGGCTCAAGTAAAATTCACCAATGAGCATTTACACTGGACTAAACAAGATTGGTGTTGTGGGATGATGAAAGTAAATATAATTTGTTTTCATCTGATGGTATTAAATATGTAAGACGTCCAAAAAATAAATTAGAAGACCCCCAGTAGACTGTACCAACCATAAAACACAGAGGTGGTAGTGTCACTGTGTAGGGATTTTTCATTAAATTGGTATAGTATTTGGCATCATATAGTATGATGCCAAATACTGTACCAAGAAAAATTGCTAAAAAAAATTGATTACATCAACGATGATGTTTCCAGCAGGATAATGACCCTAACACACTTCAAAGGCTGAGAAAAATTGGTTCACATTTAATAAAGTTTGTATTATGGATTGGCTTAGCCTGAACTAAATCCCATTGAAAATTTATGGAAGAAGCTTGATCTTTTAATTTTACTAACAAAAAGAATTTGTTTGCAGCTTTACACCAAAAATGTAAAAAATATCCTTATAGACAAACTAATTAAGCTTGTCAACTGAATGCCTTAAAGATGTGCTGCTGTAATTACCTCAAAAATGTGCCGCTGTATTTAATTAATTATTTGGAGGTTATGCTACCAAACATTTATTAATATAATTATAAAATTCATGAAGTTTTATAGTTATCTTCATTTTTTCACTTTTTTTTTTCAAGTATAGTTGAAAGTAAAAATACTTTTGACCCAAGCAAAATTGAAAAAAATTTATTTAAAATATGTTAATGCAAAGTTGAATAAAAATTTTATACAAGTAGAATGTCACTAATTTACATTTAATAAAAAATAAATGAATGATCTCCACCTACAATCTATATTTTCTTTTAAGTTAAAACTATTATTAAAAATACTTTTGAACGCTACAATATATATAAGTCTAGATTCATGTTTCAGAGTCATATAGTTGAAAGAGGGTGAAACCACAATTAAAATACCCTTCTCAACTGTAGTGACTGTTTCGGCCTTCCATTATTATATATGTATATGTATATGTATATATATATATATATATATATATATATATATATATATATATATATATATATATATATATATATATATGAAGAGTTTATTTTCAAAACGCCGTAAACGCCATTTTAAAAATTTTTTAGAAATTGTGTGGTTTATTTTTAGTTTATAAGGACCTAGCAGACATTGTGTCCGAATATATGCTAAACGAAGTATAACCCAATATTTTTTTACTTCTAAAAAACATTTATTTTCAAAACACGGTATAAAATTTTTTATTTGTTTTCAAAATGCGGTATTTAATTTTGACCAATCCGTGGCAAATGTATATTACTTCTGCGCAAGCGCAAATATTTTAAAGTTGCGTTAAAGAAATGGCGGATTGCGATGGACAAGATTAATACGTTACCTAATATCCTATTTTACATAGAAAAAAAGATATGATGTATGAAACAAAAGAAAAGAAAAGCATTTCTTAATTCTAGTGTTCGTTTAAACTACCATGCTTTGTTTGTTTAACTGAACGAATTATGGAATAATGATAGAAAATATATTAAAAAGGCAACTTAAATTAATAAGTTTAAATATATTTGTTACCTGTTTTTTAATGGAAAGCATTCAATAATAATACTTCCTTTTTATTTTTTGTTAAACCGACAATTGCTTTGTTGCAAATAAAATGAGGCTATTGTGGTATTTCATATTTAAAATTTTATTTCGTTCAAAAATATAACGATGACTTTTATGTTATATTAATTGTCCATTAGTTCTATGGAGACTTAAAAATAGTGATCATCATTGTTACAACTACACAACGCTAAAAAAATATTTTTGTTTATTGTCCATATTTAACTCTCCGAAACAAATATAAATTTACAATTGCAAATTGTGAAATGTAATAGTTTACATTACTTCAATAAAACATTGTTTACATTCACATTATTAATAAAATATAATGACCAAACATTAAATACACATATTTGTTCAATATGTTAACTAAAATTAGTAATTAAAACTTATTCAGGTCTTTTAAAGTTTAAAAACTTTCCATAACATCTTTATAAAATGGATATACCGCATTTTGCTAACAAGCTTTAATTGGATATACAATATTTTGAGAATAAATGCAAACTTATTGACAAAAAAAATAATTTTTTTTTTTAAATAATATTTTATTTATTAACATTATATAATATACTTTATGTATATATACATTAAGAAACAATAAATTTTCCAAATATACAAGACATGTTGGTGTGGCGAAAAAAGTCAATTATCTCAATACCACAAAAATGAATATACCGCATTTTGAAAATACACTCTTCATATATATATATATATATATATATATATATATATATATATATATATATATATATATATATATATATATATATATATATATATATGTGTGTATATATATGAATATATACACACATATATATATATATATATATATATATGTGTGTATATATATATATATATATTCATCCCTGTATAAATTTATACATATATTTAGTGATGAATAAGAGATTTGCGGATTTAGAGAATCATTAGTAAGAAAATGACAAGCATGGTAAAGATACACACACACATACACACACATATGTATATATATATATATATATATATATATATATATATATATATATATTTGTATATATATATATATTTGTATATATATATATATATATATATATATATATATATATATATATATATATATATATATATATATATATATATAATATATATATATATATATATATATCATACTGAATATCATACTGAAATAGGTAGCTGTGGGGGTTTCAAGGAATACATTGACTGATGTATGTATCAAAGTCCTGCTTCAGTACATGTATAGGGTTTGGGTTAGGGAAGCAATAAATTTTCATTATTCCTCATTTTTTTCTTTAATTTTCTCAAAATTAAAGTGCACAAAGTATATAAGGAAATTGCATTCTTAGATACATATTATCCATAGATATGACTTTTATTGCACCAAAAAAAAAAGTGCTTTAAGATGGAGTGAAAAGTTTGAATGAAGCTGGATTCATATCAGGGAGGGACCTAAACCTTTTTTAGCATTGCTGGAGAGGTATAAGCGCCCAAAAAAAAAGGGCCCAAAAAAAATTTATTCTTTATTGCTTTTTTATTAAGACTAGGAAAAAAAGTTTTGGTTTCAAATGCAAATAACTAATTTTCTGTTTATTTTAGCAAGGTCATTTTTTCTTCTTCCTTGTACATTTACTTCATAAGAGCAACTAAATAAAACTTTCTTTTATAAATTGACTTCTCATTAATTTGAAAAAACTTTAATGTGTCTATTACTAAGACAATATAATTTTGCTGCGTCTTTTTCTAAAACAATAAAATGGATTAAAAACTTGTTTTAAAATTAAAAAGCAACTTGTTTAAAACTGTCATTTAATCCAAAAAAATGAATTGAAACTTTTTATGAAACTCAATTTAAAGGCAATGAAATATAAGATATGAAAAATTTATTTTTTCAAAAGGAGTGGCTTTATAACATTCATTTAAAGTAATGTTAACTTTTGCCAATTAGCAATTAAGACTGTTTTTAATAAGTGCTGTTTTTAATGCTAAAGGCAATGGTACAAGTTCTTGCTTTGTCTGCCCAGTTGGTTTTGTAAGTTTTTAATAAGTGAGCATAAGTAAAAATTCCAGTCTTAATAACAACGTAGCAAATTTACTTTTTGATTGAATTTGATCTTGAGCTCGCTGTTTTATGAAAGTTAAACATTGTTTAAAAAGTAATTATAGTTTAGTTACATCCTTTAAAAGTAGCTTAAAAGTAGCTTAAAAGTAGCTAAAAAGCCTTTGAAAGTTATCTATCCACATAAGTTAAAAGGTTTGACTGATGTTTCTTTTTCAGAACTAAAAAGAATTATATTGTTTAAAACAAGCAGAAAAATCATTTAAAACCTCTTCACAACAAAAAAGTTACATAATAATTTTACTCAATAAGTCCAAAATCTAGATAATTGATTATTCAACAACATCAAGAAGCAAAAACTAGTTTTTATTATTTTTTATCATTACAATTATAAATATATAATATATATTTATAATTGTAATTTTATAATATAATAATAATTATATTATAATATATAATATATAAATATATATATAAATTATATATATATAAATATATATATAAAATTTATAAATACATAAATAAATAGCTTCTTCTTGTATTACTCTGTCTTCTTTTCTTGTATCCAAAAGAAATTTGTGATAAGGACAAAAACGAAATTTATGATACAGGAAAAACAAAATAATGCACTTCTATTACTACAAAAAAAAATTTGTTGAAATAAAAATTGAAGAATAGTTAAATCATCAATAAATCATTTAAATTATTTCCATGACAACTAAAGAGAATTTTGATAGAGATCTAAAATATATTCATTATTGCTTTGATTGGCATTTTCTTTGGAGTGCTATCTAAACATGTAAATTAAGTGACATTTTGAATTAAGCTATGGTTAAATTTTATCTTTAAGAAATGTTCAAGTAAACACAAGTTGAACAGAGTATATGCCAATAGGGGAATCTGTATTTAACTTTTTATATTGGAAACTGTTTATATCTTTATTTATAGATCAAAATGTAAGTTTTGAAAATGATACGCAGTCTTGTGTAATAAAATTGGGAATTGATATTTTAATCTAAACTTGTTTTATTAATTGAATTTGCCTCCTGATGATAGTTTAACAAGAAAACTTGACAAAAATTTTACTCAGGGTGTATGTGCAACGGGAAGCTCAAAATTTGTTCCTAGTGGAATGATCATTTTGAATTTTTTTAAAATTAAAACGGAAAATATTTAAACAATAATGGTATGTCAATTCAAGTTTCTTATTAAGTTGAAGAAATCAAGAGTTAGCTAAACCTCCATTAAATTGTTTTCCCAATAATCTTTAATTTGATAAGCAATATTGCAAAATTATGAATCTTTAATGGGATTATGTATCTTGGCTTGAATTTTTTTCTCAATCGTTTTAAATAATTAACTGTGTATAGTTTAGTTAACTATTGCTTTGGTTCTGTTTTAATTGTGATATATAATAGAATTTTTTTTCCAACAATATATTCAATTCGATTACAAGATGTAAGAGTTTAGTAAGCATTAATACTTTTTATTTTATACTATGCTATTTGTAAATATTGATTAAAAATTGTTTAAAATAACTACTAGAATATAGTTACTAAAATATAAATTAAAATTACTGGAATATAGTTACTAAATGTTTAAAATACTTTAAACTTAGAATACTTTGAAACTTTCAATAAGTATTTACAAATAAGGTAGTATTTGCAACTTGTTGCAAACTGTTAGTATTTGCTTAAAAGTTTATTAAATAATAAATAAATTAGTCTAATTTAATAGCATAGAGAGGCAAGGGGAAAGAATAAGAACACCCCCCCCCTTTTTTTTTTTTCTTCTCTTTTGTTGCCAAAAAAAAAAGGTTTCCCCAAATAAACTCTGGGTTTGTCACTGCAGATGGAGTTGAAGGTTTTAAACAAAATTTTGTAAACTAAATAATTAAATAAGTAATAATTATTTTAATTTATGTGCCCTTCATTAGAAACTAATTGTTGTTTAAATGTGCCCATAAATTATTCTTTTAAATGTTTAACAATTGTCAACCTGAAGTAACTTTATTTAACTCACTAGTTTATGAGTTTAGCTTGATGCAACAGTTAAATATGTATTATGGCTATTATTGACTGTTTGAAAAGTCAAATCAGGATCTAATAAACAAAACAATTTTTTAAACATCACAACAAAAATCAGAATCATAAACAAAGCAATTTTTCAGTACTATTGCATCAGTTAAATACAAAACAATTTTTAAGTAAAGTTAAATATTGTATTATTTTATCTTTCTACACTGTAATTTATAAAACATTGTGATTAGCAATTATAAAATACAACTTAATTTGATAATGGAGAATATAATACAAAAGTGTAGTATCTAGGAAAATTTAGAATACCTGTTATAGAACTTGACGCAGCTTCACAGTATTTGCCTGGTGGACAGAGTAAGCAATCAGATAAAGATGATTTTCTTGTAAAGTTATTATAAGTACCTGCAGGACAAAATTGAGGTATCTCGCTTCCTTCTGGGCAGTAATAACCAACAGGACAGGGATTAGTCGTGCTCATTCGAGTTTGGTCACAAAAATGACCAGGTTTACACGGAAAACATCTTTTCTGCACCCTATAAGGCTGATATGTTCCAACATCACACGGTTTATGTTCAGAGGATCCTCGAGGTGAATAGTGACCTGGCAAAGATTCAGTTTCATTTGGAGATATAGCTCCTTTAGAACAAAAATAACCTGGATTACAAGGTCCATCAGGTGATGGACTGCTTGACTTCTCACAATAATAGCCAGGGTCACAGGTTTGACAATCTTGATTATTGGTTGCACCTGCTGTGTTTGAATATGTTCTTGGAGGACAAGGTTCGCTCTTAAACTGACCAGATGTACAAAACCCACCTGAAGGACACGGACTACCAGTTTTATTATCATTTGGCGTACTTCTATAAGCACCCAATATACAAATATAGCCTGGATCACAAGGTGCACGAGGTGTTGATAAACCTTGAGCATCACAGTACCTTAAAATTATTTTTAAATCTTAAATAAATAAGATAACATTAATTATATATTAATAACTATACACATTATAACTTATAAACAATAATAACATAATAAAATATGAGTGTGATATACTCTAAGATATATTATTAAAAATTTTAAAAACAAAAGATACAATGTTGCTTTAGAGTTTTATATTCATGCTTTAGCTCTATATTTAAAAGTAAGAAATTCTACTCCTAGTTTACCTGCCATTTTTAATGAACATTATGAATTTAATTTAAAAGATGAAAACTTGATGAATAAACTTAAAAAAGGTTTTAACAACTCAACTTTTTAACTGAAAAAATAAACCAGTGACGTATCCAGAAATTTTTTGGGCATACCGGTCTAAAAATCCTGTCTACCTAAGAAGCCCTTTTTTTTTTTTTACTAAAATTTAAATAGAATTTATTCGTATATAATATATAACTCACTCTAGTTTTTTAGGTTTTTTCTAACAAAAATTTAAATAGTTAATCAAAATAATGTTACATTTATTACAGAACGACGGCTTTAACTACAACATCGATTCATCACTACTCGCTACTTTTCATTTACTTGCTCCATTCACTTACTATTTATAAATTATAATTAATACTATTTATTAAATTATTAAACTAAATTATTAAATTCAAAATATTAAATATTGTTAACTAGAAATATTAAGAGTATGATTTCACAAACAAGCAATAACTATAACATTTAGTAAACAATATTTGTATGACTCTTTGGTATAAACTTGATAAGATTTATTACATAGCATATTTAAAACAAGGTAAATTCATTCAAAATTTTAATTACTTCATTCAAAAATTAATACCTTTTTTTTTTAGTTCTACTCTAACTATTCAAATCAAGTTTTTGGCGTGAATATTAAAATATTAATTTAATTATTTAAATAAATGTTATTCTAATTTTATGTTTTAAAAACTTTCATTCGTTTTATTATTTAAAGTATTTTTAATACAATTTTCACTGTTAATTGAAATGAAAAAGTTTAAAGCTCATGTTTAATCGCTTCGAAAATTACGTTAATGAAACGTAAGCGGAGGAGAAACTCAAATTAATGTATTTTTAAAATGTTATTTAAAAATCCTAAGCGTTTCATATTTTAATCCAATCAAAACGTGCGTTTTACATTTAATCCAATTACAACATATTCTTTATTTCATCAACGTGAATTTGAATTAGGCATTTTGGTTGGCTTTAAAAGTCATTTTTCAAATGTTGGTATTTCTGTGATCACAACAAATGCTAATATAAAACTGTTTTAAATTGAGTTTGGGCTGAAATTTGGGGGCCCATACCGGTATACCGGTATCAAAATCGGCCTGGATACGTCGCTGTAAACTTCATTCAATTTTTTAATCTTGGTCAGGATAGTATACAATTACACATCTTTATATGACCTTGTAAACTTTGTTTTGATGATTTAACAACAGCTGCTAACTTGTTTGGAAAAAATTGAAAATTTAAAAAATTTGCCGAAAAAACTTAATTAGACCAAATGAAAGAAAAAAATTAAAACAAAAAAATAAACATTAATAAATAAACATACAAACAACAAAAATAAAACCTAAAAAATAAAAATATTAAGATTATTTAAATAAAGTTTTTAAAGGGACTACCAAATCCCGAGACATGTTGTGTTCATATTAAAGAGAATGTTAAAAAAAAACCTCTGAGCAAATTTTTTTTGATTAAAACTAATTAATAAATGTATATCGGAGATATTATAACTTGATTTGGCGCCATAGGAGTCCCTAGGTCCACCATCCCTGCGGCCTATGTAGCCACAGCTCTGATAGCTACAAAAAAACAAAGTTTTTTTCAATGTGAAGATTTTAGAACATAAAATAACTAACTATAGTTAGCTATTTTAGTAAAATTTAATAGTAAAATTTTTAAAAAAGTTCTAGATGTAAACTTGTTTCCAATGACGTCATGTACTAAAACTTCTATGAATTAAACGCACTTGAATAAATTATCAAGTCTGTATAATGCGCCTGGAAATTCGTGTTTATTTTATGGACTCCAAATACCCCAGAAAATGGCTTCGACTAAAACAACAAGATTTGTTTTTCTTGGTATACATTTATTAGTTAGTTTTAATCAAAAAAAAATTTTCTCAGACGTTTTTTTTTAACATTCTCTTTAATATGAACACAATATGTCTCGGGACTTGGTACTCCCTTTAATGAAAAAACTTTTTTATATTTGCAAATGCTTTTATATTATTGAAACCCACATAAATAAAATTTGGAATAAAAACTTCAAATATTTTATATTTGAAAATGTTTTTATAATATTATGGAAATCCTTTATAAATAAAGCAATTTTGATTAAAATACATTTAATTTATTTTATTTATACATTTTCATTTTAATTTATATTACTTATTTTAATTACTACTTTTTACTTATTTAAAAATAGTAAAACAAATATCATTATTAATGTTACTTTATTTAAAAGCTAATATAAAAACATATATATATATATATATATATATATATATATATATATATATATATATATATATATATATATATATATATATATATATATATATATATATATATATATATATATATGTGTGTGTGTAAATTATTTAAGATTACCATCCGGGTGAACAAGGAGTGCAGTCTTCTCTAAACTCCAAATTTTCTCTACTATTATATGTTCCAATCGGACAGGGAAAAGGAACTCCTGAGCTCTCAGGACAATAATATCCTTTTGGACAAATTTTGGGAATATCACTTCCTTCAGGACAAAAAAATCCTTTTGGACATTTCTTGCAATCTTCTTTAGTCATAGTTCCAGTAATATTAGTATATGTTCCACTAGGACATGGTTCTTGTTGGGAACTATAAGATCCTATTACTATTTCACCATCTGTAAGATTTGTTGGACAATAATAACCTGGTTCACACTTCTTAACTGGAATTGTAGTTTTTTCTTCACAATAAAAACCAGAAATACAAGGTAAACATGATTTTATGGAGGTACCAGATACATTTGGATTATATGTACCAACAGGACAAGGAACCTCCTCAGTAGTAGCTAAAAAGATAAAAAAAATTAACATTATTTTTTTTCATTTTTAATGAACATTATAAAATCAATTTAAAAGAAGTTATAATGCTTAAAAAAAAATTTAAAAAAAAAAACCTTTCTCGCAAAAAAATCCAGCTGCACAATCTTTTGCATCAGACTTTTTTTGAAGTCCACTAGAACAGTATTTCCCAGCTGGGCATTGCATACTGTTAAACATATCAACATTAGAGGTTGCTTCACTCTCACAAAAATAACCTTTTGGACAAATCTATATGATAATTTAAAGAAAGTCTAAAGATCCTTAACATTCTAAGAGATCATATGGATTAGTCTTAAAATGTTTTTGTTTAGAAGTAAAAATAATAACATTTAAACAAAAACTATGTTAAGGTGATTATAAACTCAATTAGAGATCAAGTACTATAACCTATTAGCTAAGTGAATTGATTAACTTTAAAAATCAATATTTATTAAAATTTTCTTGTTTATAGAGATAACTTGGAGATTTTCATGTTAATAGAGATAACTGAGATTATGAAATAATAAGTTAAATTACTTACTTGACAAACAGATTGCCCAGATTTTGAGTATTTTCCAAAACCACATTTTTTGGGAATAACTGTTGCATTTAAACAAAAATATCCTGCTGGACAAGTAAGACATTCATTTTGAAAGCCTGCAGACTTTCCTACTGATAACATAGATGTTTTATTATAACCATTTGGCATATAAGTACCAAGTGGACATTCATACGGCTGAACAGTTCCTTTCTCACAAAAATGACCCAATGGACAAATTTTACAGTCATCAATACTAGACATTCCAAACTTGGAATTATAAGTTCCATTTGGACATGCAAATTCGTTTGCAAATTTTGTACTTTTTTTACAGTAAAAACCTGGTGGACACAGTCCTGACATAGTGGCTTCACCTCCATTGCAGTAATACTTTTCAGGACAGTCAGTGCATTGACTAACATCATACAAAGATGAACTGTTAGTAAATGTTCCAGGAGGGCATGGATACTTTTTAGGTGATGGAGTTCCTTAAAATTGTGAAGTTAAAAACAAAAAGTAAACAAAAAAGAACATTTTTACATATATATATATATATATATATATATATATATATATATATATATATATATATATATATATATATATATATATATATATATATATATATATATATATATTAGAAAATTACCTGATGGACAATAATATCCTTGAAGACATGGTCTCCATGGCTTATTAGGAAAACCAGTTCCCCAAGTACAGAAAAATGAGGGTGGACATGGAAGACATTCCTCTGGTGACTTAAGGTTAGTAGAATTTGAATAAGATCCAGGCGGACAAGGATATTGATAACTAACTATTGTACCTTTTGGACAATAATGACCAACACTACATAAATTAGTAGACTCATTTAATCCAGCTATAGGACAAGATTTACCCGGATCACAAAGTATACAATCTAATTTATTTCCAACTTTTTTATTTGGGTTGTATGTGCCAGGAGGGCATGGAAGTGGACTAACTGTGGGTTTTCCTTTGCTTCCATCAGGACAATAATGACCCACAGGACAATCAATACATTGACTTGCATTGCCAAGTTTCTGTTCAGATGAATACGTTCCAACATTGCAAGCATAAGCTTTTGCCGAGCCTGTTCCTCTAGGGCAAAAATATCCAGATGGGCATTCTTTGTCAATTAAACTACCTGTCCCTTTAGGGCAATAATAACCTAACTCACATTCTTTACACACATTACTCGAATTTTGTTTTGTCATATTATTATAAGTACCAGATGGACAAGGATATTCATCCCAATACTGTGTCCCTTCTGGGCAATAATATCCAGGTTTACAAGGAAACATATCATAAAAGATTAATCCAGGCCCAGTGCAATAATAACCAGCTGGGCATTTTACACATGCTGAGGAATCTCTTGAAGTATTTTTACTGTTGTAGGTTCCACCAGGACACAAGTAAAATGTTTTACCATCACAATAACCACCTGCAGGACAAGTACCTAAAAAAAATGTTTTTAATGTTTTAAACTAGATAAATGTGTGTTAAAGAACCATTGAAAAATAAAAAAATAAAGAAAAATAAATAAAGAATCAGATAATTTTAAAAAAAATAGTTATGAAAAATTTTTTTTTGGCAGTTTTTTTTTTAATAAAATCTGCTCTAACTTTAAAGCACTTAGTACAATATTTTATTAATCATAAAACATTATCCAACATTATAAAACAATCAGATCTGTAAAACACCAATTAAAAACTGGCTCTTTATTAAATGTAAAACACTTTCTAGCAAGCAGCTTCTTTAAATGGAAGTCTGAGGCAATAAGATGTTCTGAGAATGGAGGTGACTAAGGAAAAGAAACAGACACTGAGACAAAATCTGTAAATCTGTAGTAAGACAATCAAGCAATTTTTGTTTTATTTCACTGAGTTTACTGTCATCATAACAGTATTTTATAAGGTCCATTATTTTGTTTAAAAATGTATTTTTTTTGGTTAAACTTGGCCATAGTTCTTAAATTTTTTCATTAAGTTGATCTGAAAGGCTTGTTTAATATTCAGAATTGATTGTTTCACCTTTCTGAATGTATTTTATTAACAAAGTTTCAAAGTAATCTCAAAGTTTTTATTTAAGCCATCAAAATACCTGTTTATGTTTAACTCTTGTTTAACTAGGTTGTATACAGAACAGTATACAACCCAGTATACAACCCAATTGGTATAGTGTTGCATGTAGAGAGTCTTTTTGAACACAGGATTGCCACTATTATAATTGAATAAAATAATTTAAATTTGCTTATTTTTCCCTGACATTTCCATCATTAATACTAAAACATTTCACTAAAATTTCAACATTGACCCCTAGACACGCTATTTTTATCCCATCCCTCCTCACTCCCCCTCCCCCCCCCAAAAAAAAACAAAACAAAAAAAAACAGAAAACAGATTGCCCGCTTTCCATATACAAGGTACTTTTATATTTCTGTTTTATATTTATAAAAACCAAGAATTTGTTAGAAAATAAAAATAAATATTTAAATACTTTGTACATTTTAAAAAACAGTTAAAATTAACAAAATGGTCCTTGAATAAAATATAAAAACTAAAACAAAACATAATACTGTGGGCCAAAGAGAATGTTTTATGTCAATCAAATGAAATCTTTTTTATTCAATAGTATTTGTCTTATATAACAATAGAAAAGTGAACGAAGTGTTAAGAGTAATAAATGAGGCAAAAGGGTAAAATTTAGGGTTTTTTTTTTCTGATTTTATAAACATTTTTATTTTTATAGAACAAACATTGTTGAGTTTTTTTTCTAACATTTTCTAACAATTCATTTTTTAACAATTCTTCTAGGAAGAGCTTCCCAAGAACTATCTACTTTTTAATATTAAAACATTTGAAATTGTTTTAAAACATTAAAATAAAATAGTACAAAATTTTAAAATTCCCTGAATTTTTCGCTCACTTTTAACAAAATCAATCTTTTTCTCTGATTTTCCCTGATCATATCTAAATTTCCCTGACTTTCCCTGATTTGGTGGCAACCCTGTATTATCTCACCATAAACTGAGATAATTTAATACAATTTCTAATCAATGTTGCATGTTCAAGGTAGCGCACTAATTTGGTAAATCTTGTAAAGCTGGCAGAAATAGTGAAAATGGAAGCAAAACTACTTTTCCATTATGGCAACATAGAAAAGGTGTTACATCAGGAAATTTTTCAGCAAAACAATGCTGACAGATCTGGTTCATTTCTCCTAAATAATTATAATCTAGAATAGTATCATTTATTGGTATACAATACATTATTCTTTGTCTGGCAGCAATTTGTACATTTTGAGAATGATTTATCTTATCTCTCCTAGGCCTATCTCTTTCAATTATGTGATAATTACTTTCAACTCACCTAACCATAATGTTCTAAGTTAGGCATAAATTACTTTTATCTTGCCAAGCAGCATTTTTTACATTTTGACGACAATTAATTTCAGCTTTCCTAGTTCTGATCGTTTTACTAAAGTATCAGATATTATAAAGTTGATAGTATTTCTTCTAATAGCTTATTTAAGGCTAATATCAACCATTTCAATTTCATATTATTAAACATATTAACAGCAATATTACTACTGTAGTAACAAAAAATGTATATTGTTTACTATAAAATGTTTTTTATTTAAATGTTTTTAAACATTAAAATAAAATAGTAGAAAATTAAAAAATTTATTTTCTGATTTTTCCTGATTAAATCTTTTTTCTCTGACTTTCTAAATTTTCCTGACTTTTTCTAAATCCCCTAATTTCCCTGATTTTGTGGCAATCCTGTTATAATAACTATAAAATTGTTTTATATTTTACAAAAATAAGAATTTAATTCCTGAGAAACATTTTTTTTTTATATTAAAAGTTGTCACTAACTTATAAACAAAGAACAACTTGCTATAATTATCATAATTATCTATTTATTAACTTTATTTATGCCTAGTTTATGCGTAAAAATAGGATAACTTGAGCGTAACTTAAGAATATTATTAGATAGCCTAAATAATAAAGAAATGATATACAAAAATCCCTGACAAAAATATAATGCACAAATTTATAAATTTAAAGTGTTATAAATTTAAGTTACCAATAAAAGGTGAAGCACTAACAGAACCTGCCACACAAAGATACCCTGGATCACACAAGGAACAAACTGTTTTACCACTCGGAGAATATGTACCAACAGGACACATATTAGGCTCTAAAATAAATACACTATTCTTAAAGAAAAAACTAACAACTTATTTTGAAACAGTGAACAAATAATAGTGTAACAAAGTAAAAAATGACAGCGGAAAAAATAAAACAGAGCAACATTTTTAAAAAACTTTTTCTATATATATATAAATAAAATCATTATTTTAAAAAAAAATGGCAATGTTTATCAAAATAAAAAATGGTTATAAAAACTACCAGTTGGGTCAGAACACTGGTATCCTGCTTCACATTGAGTACATTTTGTTGCATTTCCCAATGAGTAATATCCATCAGGACATTTAACAGGAACCGATGTTGTGCTCTCACAAAATGCACCAGGATTACAGGGAAAACACGTTTCTGAGTTACCCAATGAATATTCACCTGGTCTACATGCAATCCTTTAAAAATTTATTTACAAAGATTGATCAATTTTTTGTTTTTATTTTCAAAACTTGAATTTATACATTTTTATTTTATAATTTTTTTATTTATATTTTTATTTTCTTAACATTTAAAACTTTAAATTTAAAAACTTGTCTCCAAAAAAAGTTATAACAGAAAATTTATATAATATAAAAATCAAAGAAAATGAAACTGAAATCAGTTTTTTGTTTATATATATATATACATATATATATATATATATATATATATATATATATATATATATATATATATATATATATATATATATATATATATATATATATATATATATATATATATATATATATATATATATTTTTATTTATTTAAACTCACTGAGAATTTGTTTGAGTTGAAAGACATTGAAAACCAGCTGGGCAGGGAATACATGCAGATGAGTTTTGTAATGACCAAGTGCCTTTTTGACAATCATATACTTCAGCACGATCTTTTGATGGACAGTACCTGGTAAAATAAATTGAAACTTTAGCTAAAGTAATAAAAAACAAATTTAATTTGATAGAGAACTACATACTTTCCAGCTGGACATGTGGTGCATTTTGTTTGAACACCTGTTGAATACGTTCCATTTTGACATAGTGTTGGTAACATAGATTTACTCGGACATTCAAATCCAGCCGGACACATATTACACTGCATTGATCCATTTAGTGCATAGTATCCATCTGAGCAAGGTATTGGACTTGTGCTGCCAATATTGCAATAAGAACCAGCAGGACACTCTGTACATAATGAGCCTGAAAGGTATGAACCCAAAGGACAGTCTATGAAACTATAAGAGCTAAAGAAACAAAAAAATTATTTTTTGTTAATCAAACTGTAATTGTTATACAAATTTAATGTATTATATATTGCTATGCATTTATTCTATAATTATATTATATATTTCCAATATAATTAATTATATATTATATATGTTATATAGCTTTGTATATAAATATAAATATATATATATATATATATATATATATATTTATATATATATATATATATATATATATATATATATATATATATATATATATATATATATATATATATATATATATATATATATATATATATATATATATATCGTCTGGGATAGTGCTAATCTGCGTAACTAGCATTGGCTACTATATTTGAATATTATCAATTTTAACACCAAATATTTATTGTTGACATTACAAAAAACATAAATATTACTCTTTATACTAAAATGAACCCAAAATCTGTAAAAATAAAAAAAATATAAAGTTTTAAACTTCTCACAGTAAAAAAAATGTACTGTAGATATGCGGTATTATCCAATGCTAGTTACGCGGTTTTGCACTATCCCCGACAATATATATTATTATTATTATTATTAAATTGAAAACCGTAGAGTAAAATTTACAAGGACGGTCACTTAAGAGATTACTTTATAACTATTACTTATAACAGTTAAAATTAAACAGCTATATATATTTAAAACAGTTAAACTTTATAACAGTTAAAATTTACTTTTATCAATATTGTTTTTAAAATAGTTTAAAAATAAATATAAAATAAATACAAAGAGTTTATCGTCTTCACATTAACAGTTTCATGATCTAAATTGTTCCACTTGTTACAAACTCGATTTAAGTAAATTTTATGTCTTGCGTTACATTTTGGAGTGTATTCTCTTGAGAATCTGCAGTTGTGATTTCTGTGTTTATTTTCCCGTCTAATACTCTGTTGGTTATAAAATTTATTTGTTATTGTAATGAAATTTGATCGTAACCATATACTATTCTATACATTTGTATAAGGTCTCCACGAATTCTTCTTTTCTCTAATGATTCCAGGTTAAAAACTTTAAGTCAGTTTTTGGTATTTCATTTTTTTCAAGATGGGACCATTTTTGTCGCTCTTTTTTGAACTTTCCAAATGATCTATATCTTATTGTTTAGATGGTTTGTTATTTGTATCAATTGTTTCAAGTAAGTTGGTTATACATGATTTAGAAGGTACAAAACCATGTTGATTTTGATCAGGTGATCAGCCACACCATACCATTGAAGGTATTTTTTTTGGATTGTATATACTCATTGATATTTTTGGCTGGCTGTCAAGGTAAAGTTGTAAGTTGGTATTAAAAGTTGCAGGGATCTTTGGTAGAATTTTAATATCGACAGTTTCAAGCAAATTTACAGGGTGTCAAAAACACCCTGGCAAATTTTTTTTTTTTTATTTTAATTCACCTCCTCAAGGCCGAGAAGGCCACTACAGACGAGGAGGCTACTTATTTGTGGCTATAACCCTCTCTCAACTCTATAACTCCGAAACACGAACCTTGACAAACAAGGCCGCTGCGCGGAGAAACGAGTTGATTTTTTTGCTTTGAATGAAATTTGAAAGCAAATTTGCTTGAAACTGTATCTGTGTCCAGATCTGTTTGTTTCAAACACAGAGATCTAGAGCAAATTTATTTAAAAAAAATTATTTAAACAAGTTTTTACTCATCCAAACTTTATTGTACCAATGTATATCTATGTTAATAGGTGTTAATATCATTTCATTTCAATATGAATTTAAAAAGGTCTTTTTTTTTTTTTGTTTTCGACCATTTTAAGTGTAAACATTGATTTTCAAAATATTAGTCTTTTTTCCCATTTGTTTTTACTTTTTGTTAATATTGAGCTCAATTATTCTTTGTTATGAACTAATAAATATTTCCTGCACATTTTAATTTTAGAAAACTTATTAATATATAATATATATATATATATATATATATATATATATATATATATATATATATATATATATACATATATATATATATATATATATATATATATATATATATATATATATATATATATATATATATATATATATATATATATATATATATATATATATATATATATATATATATATATATATATATATATATATATATAGATAGATAGATAGATAGATAGATAGATATATCTGATAATATGAATACGCTAATTTAATATTAGTCGAGTTACGTCATTTTCTAGGCTTTTCTATTTTAAAGTAGTTTCTAGGCTTTTCTATACGTGGTTTTTTTTTTTAATTTTATTTACTAACAACGCGTATTACGGGTTGCTTACTGCTAGTATATATGAATATATATATCTATATTTAATAATAATTAATTTTAATTTTAGAAAACTTATTAATATATAATATATAACATATATATATATATATATATATATATATATATATATATATATATATATATATATATATATATATATATATATATATATATATATATATATATATATATATATATATAATAATAATAATAATAATTAATTTTAATTTTAGAAAACTTATTAATATTGCATTTGTACATTATTGGTTAACTTTTAGTTAAATCATTTAGCTCTCATTTAACCTCTGTTAATTTATTATTTTTTTCACTAATTTTAAAATTAAAAACTAAAACTACAATTTCTCCGTAAATTAGGCAAAAGAAAGTATCAGGAGGAAAAATTGTTCACAGCCTAAGAATTTTGAGAGATGATATACCAATGGTGAACTTATAGACACAATTCTAAGCAAAGACTTTTCAATTAAATCAAATCTGAAAACCCAGATACAGTAACTGCAAAAATTCCAAAAGATATTTATTCTTACTCAATTTGATTTTTCAGTATAGATAAATAGTGGTTTTTTAAATATAGGTAACTAACATTGCAGTTGTCACAGCCAACCACTTTTTATACTTTCTGATATAGGTTAATTGTCCTCTCAATCATGAGGGAGCATTAAGAGGACAATTAAGGGGTTGTCCATAAAGTACGTACGCTTTTTTTTCACTACCCCCCCCCCCCACCTGCAATTTTCCGTACGCTTTTTTGAGTACTCTCTACCTCCCTTAAAAGTACCTACGCTTTTAACCTACTAACCTAACATTTTATGATATTTTTTTAAATTTAGTGTCACCATACTTTTATAATTGACCTACTGCCCTTTTATCTCAGAAACACCATTTGCAGACCTCCTCTTCCTCTCCGAGCGTACGTACTTTACGGATGATCCCTAAGTTGTTTTTGTTGAAGAGTTTATAAAATGAGAATCTGGAAAATGTTTTTTAACTAAATTTTTAAAAATTCTTGTAACATTTGTTCTTACATTAAGTGCAAAAGGAAGGTTAAACCATAAAATGTTATGTGATCTTGATTTTGATTTTGTTGCGGTATGATTTTATGGACGATCTCTAACCTCAATCATGAGGTTAATTGTCCTCTCAATTATGAGTTTTCAGGCATGTTTTGGAAATAGTCAACGAGGTCTGTGTGTTTATATATGCACACAGGCCTTATTTATTTCATATATATATATATATACATATATATATATATATATATATACATATATATATATATATATATATATATATATATATATATATATATATATATATATATATATATATATATATATATATATATATATATATATATATATATATATATATATATATATATATATATATATATAAACAATTTTTAAAAAAATGTATTCTACAAAATAGAGTGCTCAATGTTCTTAAAAGAACAGAGCAATTATAAATTAGTAGAAAATCACTTAACAAAAATTTTTTTCATTTTACACTGTTTCATCAACAAAGACTCATCAGATTTTTGATGAGTCTTTGTTGATGAAACACAGTGTAAAATGAAAAAAATTTTTGTTAAGTGATTTTCTACTAATTTGTATATATATATATATATATATATATATATATATATATATATATATATATATATATATATATATATATATATATATATATATATATATATATATATATATATATATATATATATATATATATATATATATATATATATATATATATATATATATATATATATATTTATATATATATATATATATATATATATATATATATATATATATATATATATACATATATATATATATATATATATATATATATATATATATATATATATATATATATATATATATATATATATATATATATATATATATATATATATATATATATATATATATATATATATGAAATAAATAAGGCCTGTGTGCATATATAAACACACAGACCTCGTTGACTATTTCCAAAACATGCCTGAATCGGTCACTGTAAGATATATATATATATATATATATATATATATATATATATCTTACAGTGACCGATTTACAATATCTTTTAATGATTGCATTTAGTCTTTGTTTGGTTAAATCAGATATTTTTCCAATATAAGGAAGTTTAAAATATTGATAATTTTGTAGGTTTTCCGAACGTGATGAAATATCGACATTGGTGTTGTTAATATATGAGCTATGGATTTTCTCAATCAACCAAGACAAGTACAAGTTGCGTTTGAGAACTTTAAAAAGATCGTTACTATCATGACTAAGACCGAGACCAGTGTTGTTTATTTTATAAGCTCTATTAATTAAGCATTTAACCAGACTAATTTTGTATGAAAATGAAGTAAAACTAAAAAAGTTTGTGTAGAGTCCTGAAAAAGTTTTCTTATGAAAAACAGTGGTAATTGTGAAATTTTTTGTTTTATTTAATTAATTATAAAAAAATTAATGAGTCAGCGAATGCTGATCCAACATGCATTGTGGAGCTTCTGACTGAATGTGTGCATGAGAGTCAGCGTAGTCATTAGGTTATTAATCCATATAAATCTGCTGGGTGTAACCACACCCAGCGGAATAGCCTAATGCCTGTTTTGTTGTTGTGGTGTACATTGGAAAAAGTCAGGGCTCACTGTTCTGATCAATTTTTTT